CTTCCTGCCGGGGTTCCCGCGTCCCTCCGGCCTGGTGAGGTGGCGAGGGCCGGACGCTGCCGGGCTGAAGCGGGTCAGGGGGGATGGGGCCAGGGTGCTCGTCTTCCTCGAAGGGAACGTGAAAAGGGGGCGTGTAGCTTAACTATGGAGCCGGTACCAGGTGGCGGCAGGGCCGCGGGGAAGCCGCGGTGCTCTGTCGGAGCGCGTTCGCTGGGCGGGGACGGAGTAGGACCGGGCCGTGGCCTCATTGCTTTTACATTAGAAACACCTCTGAAGCACCCCCAAACCCGCAGTTTTCCTCAAGCCCAGAAATCCAGCCGTAACCAAAGTAGTATATTTTAAGAACAAAGTTCTCGCCGTTATCAGTTCTTGTAGTTGGAAACGGTGTAGGATTGTGATAAACTTTGCTCTCTTGGAAAATGAATGCTTAGAACTTAAGTAATTTACTGCATATTGTTTTAAATTTTTTTAATAGAACCATTGTAGAAGCAGTGAAAAAGCCTAGGTTCCTTCCATGCTTTTCGGTTTTGTTTTCGTTAACGCAGGAGCTGAGCCGATGACTCTCGGCTCCCCGACATCTCCAAAACCAGGAGCTAGTGCTCAGTTTCTCCCTGGGTTCCTGATGGGTGATTTACCTGCGCCCGTGACTCCGCAGCCGCGTGCTTTAACCGGCCCTTCAGCCGGGGTGATGGAAATGAGGTCTCCGCTACTTACAGGTCAGAATTTGCTGAGTCCTCAGAAATCGTCGTGAAAGTAAACTTCGGTTTGTCTTATTGCTCTATGTGGCTGTTGCAGACTTGAGTTATTGTAGGTTTATAACTTGATGTAAATGAGCTCAACTCGTTAAAAAATGGTAGACTCAAATGTATTCAATGGAGTTTGGCTAAATTCTTCAAAGTAGACTTAAGTTTAATAACTTTTTTTAAATGTGGCAGTTTTGGTATCAAGAAAGATTGCTTTTACAGGCAATATGAACCTCACCTAACATAAAATCAGTTTATATAGCTCTTGACAAGTTGATTGCACATACAACCGTCAGTGTTTTCTCTTGGTTTAAAAGGGAGATGCCTGCTGGCAAACTAAATGCAGCTTGTGCCAGCTGCAAATTTATTTGCACTGAGTTTTGACAAGTCACTAAGATAGTCAGACTTCTAAAAACCAGATAGGGAAAAACTAAAACGCCTTTTCTAATTACTATCTAGTGGTTGTATTTGCAGTCTTGATGTCTGCTGTAGTTGAGCTGGAATAGTGACATTTCCTAGCTGTGGATGCTTCTGTCTTTCGAACCAGCCAACTGATCCAACTAGAAAAAGTCCTTACCCATGTTTCTGAATTGTGGAATTACATGTCTATTTTCTTCTCTGGGAAGTATGAGTGAGTAGGTGTCCTGGGTTCAGCTGAGCTTAAACCCCAGCAGTAGGTAACAGCTTCATTGATTTATTTTGTGTGATGGGTGATGTTGGCTTTTGTATTGAATCAGCTGGTATAAGCTATATAACTGGTGGTGGTAGTGTGCTAGTAATTTTGAAGGAGAAATTGAAGATTAAAATACTCCAGGACAATTTAGATATTATTTTCATTCCATTTCAAGCAGAACTGGACTGGCTGATCTTTCTGGGTCTCTTTCAGCCTGAGATATTCTATGATTGGTGGTGTGTTGGTTTCCTGCTTCTTGTTCTTGTTAATTTCCCCTGTCATCCCCCTGTTGTCATCCTTGCCCCACTCCACCCCTCCTTCCCCCCACCATGTACAAGCCTCTTAAGTAAATATTTATGAAATTTAAAATAGTCATGTGAATTTCACCTGTTCTTAAAAGGCTTTATTACAGCTTTAGAGTATCAGTTCTAGAAAAGGGAGAACCAGTAAGATACTAATACAGGTCTCCCAAAACAAGTGATTAAGTATGTGACTTAAACTGAAAGCCTTTTTGAGTGTGTGCTTTATTATATGCTGTAACTAGTTGGAACTAGATGATCTTAAGGTCCTTTCCAACCCTAACTATTCTATGATTCTAACAGTTTCAGGCTGCGTTAAAACATCCAAGGGGAGTTTTGAAGCTCAGAATTTAGGATTGAGAAGTACTTTAGAAAAGTTTAATTTCAAATGTTTTGCAAGTGAAAACTGTTAAATCAGACTACTTCCCCTCTCTCTCCCCTTCTTTTTTTCTGGGGTAAACCCACACAGAGTTCAGAGGTATGTCAAGATCTTTCAGTTTAATTCTCTTATATTGGAAGTCCCAAAATTTACAAAATTGGAGAGCAGGTAGTTTAACTTTATCCTGTTGCTGCTCTGAAGATCTTACATTTTTATTTACCAAGGAATCACATGGGAGAGGAATTTGGACAATGGGAATGTGACAGCATGTGCAATGTCTGTGTGCATTTTGGTATGGTTCTTTAGCATGTAGAAGGTCTTAGGTCTGAAAAACCTTGTTCTTGCATCTCTGCTACAGAGGAGTTAGTCTCTGAAACAATTAAAATGGTTTACTAACCTGCCTTGAAATAGGAAGATGTAGCTATGCTCAGAGCTTTGTAAAAATAAGTGTATGTAAGTAGTAAATGTACTGGGTTAATAAGAGGTATAAAAATTTTAGATGATACTGAGTAAGGAGGCAGTTTGACACAAACATGATATTCTTATGTAGAACATTCAAACCTGGACAATTTGGTATGCCAGATAGTTTTGCAAACCCCCAGTGAAACAACTGACAGCTCTCATGGCTGAATTTACTTTTGAAGTTTCAAAGCAAGTAGCAGTAGAGTAAAATTAGAAGTTTTCTTATGCTCCTACTTTGTTTCTTTTGACTGCAGGAGGATCTCCCCCACAACCAGTAGTACCTACACATAAAGATAAAAGTGGTGCTCCACCAGTTAGAAGTATATATGATGAATTATCTAGTCCTGGACTTGGATCAACGCCTCTAACCTCAAGAAGAACAGTAAGTGGGTTAGATATTGGCCTGTTCTTAGCAGAAGATGTGGGGTATCTTATTGCTTCAGTGAATTCTTTAACTCAGTTGTATAAACTGCTATAGCAAAATGACTGGTGAGTCTTCAGATCATGAAATTGCTTAGTCTGGGTGTTTGATATGCTTGTTCTGCGCAGTCTAAACGACAACTGCAGTTGTGAAGCTGTCTCCTATTGTTACTGATTTTTGATATGGAAAATGCAAATCATGACTCTGCTGTTTTCTATGTAGCAAATGCAGACTTGTTGCAGCTTTTTACATTCTTGTAAATTTATTGGGCTGCTGATTGCCAGAAGGATCCAAATATGTGTTATCTTTTTGTTTATTGGGTGATAGAGGCGTTTACTGAAATAGAAGGAATTTTGTGCTAGGTAAAACATCTAACAAAAGCTTGGGCAGGGAGGTGGGGTTAATTTTGAAAGTGTAACAGTAAAATTTCTACAAGGTCATTCTAATAATAAGCTCCTCTGCTTCAGCTGAGCAGTCAAGTGTTAGTAGGTTCTTCTTCAGTGAACATGATTCTTTCAATGCAAGGAGGAGGCCTTTCACTGAATGAGCTGTCTTTTTATTGGATTTTGGCTTCTGAGAAGTTTATTCTGAAAGTTCAAGTCCTCTGGATACTTGAAAAGGAAAAAAAGAGCAGCTATCACAATGCCTGTTGCTGTGTCTACAGGTGCTCCACTTTGTTTGATCTTACATCTAGGAAATGCCATGATTCAGGCTGAAAGTACACTAAAATTATTTTGAATATTGAAATCCTATATTAAAAAGAAAATAACTACTAGCAGCTAAATCTGAAAGTGTACTTTCCTTCAATGCACTAAGTGGCTGAGAGGGAAAGTAAGTCTAGTGATCAGGAATACAAGTGGGGGTTATGCTCCCATGGTTTTTAAGTCCTTTAGACAATGAAAATCAGATGCTGGTAACTGATGATACTGGCATGCTTTCCATCAGGATGCACGTGAATGTGTGAATTGCTGTATTACTGCAATAATGAGATACCTATTTTGAAAAGGTTAAGCTATCAAGTTTCTAGGTATTGATAGCTAAAGCTACTTGGTTTCGTAAAGTGTATGTGATTGGTGTTAGGTAATGGATTTTTGAGTTCCTATTACCTGAAGCTCGCCCTAAGCCTAAACAAGCTTTTCTTTTATACCAGTAGCTCTTTCTTGTTGGGTGATAAATATTATAGACAGACCCTGAATCCTATTGCTTATGGTGCTTCCCTTCTATAGTTTGGTTTAGACTCCCATACTTTCTCAGATACTTGCATTTAAGCCTCTGATCAGGAAAGATAACTGCATTCTTTTCTAAGGCTTAGTAATCAGCTGGAAATTCCGTAATGTAATAGTTGAGGCCTACTAGATGTCTGGAGTATCTGCTAGGCTGTGTGCTAGAATATAAAAATCTTGTCAAACAACTTTCCATCAATAACTTTTAATAATCTTATATTAAATATACATATAAATGTCTGTTCTTGCTCTTAAAGTTAGGAGTAACTTGAAGGAAAAGGTTAATGTTCTTGCCTGATTCTTAAGTTACCTGAAAATGGTCTCTTCTGATCTGACACATGTACCTGTAAGAATGATTTGTTACTTTATGTATTTTAATGCAGGCCGGCTTTTCTCTAACACAGAGCCCATTGGTTGGAACTATGCCATCAACCCCTGGAACAGGTAGATGTCCTGTCACAATGTACCATCTACTGTTGTACTGCTTTCCTTCATACATAAAAAACATCACTATTTTAGTATATCAACTCCTTGCTAATTTGTGAAAGAGTTGCGTGTTTATTTATTAGCTTTTCAAAAGGAATATGGATGTGACTGACTGAATTTCAGTCATCTTATTCTTTATTCTGAATTTGTTGTTGAACTGAGCATAGAGGTGGTTGTACTTGAGCGAAGTAGCTGAGACTGATGGGTTGTCTTCCATCTTCATACGGCTTTCTGTTTTGTGTATGAACCTGTGGCTTCTTGCTAAGCTTAATTCTGCTGTGTTTTTATTCCTATTTGGCTTGTGTGTTAAGCTGCTGGTATTCAGAGGTCAAGGAAAAGCTATGGTGCTGGTCATAAAACTGACTAGCATGCCTGCACATGTGAAGTTTGGCTGACTGCCATTAATCTGTCTTTGTTTTTTTTCTTGCAGTCTGTCTGCAATTAATCTCCACCAAACTTTTTGTATACAAGAGAAATGCTTGATGCTATATTTATTCCTTTACAATAGTCTCTTGAGCTTATCTGTCTTGCAAAAACTAATTAGTTAATACCATTTAAATTTAACAGCTTCAGGTGTGTTCAGTCCTGCAAGTATTGGGCAGCCTAGGAAGACTACTCTATCTCCTGCTCAGCTAGATCCTTTTTACACTCAGGGTGATTCCCTGACTTCAGAAGATCAACTTGACGACACATGGGTAACTGTATTTGGGTGAGTTGATTTCCAAAGTGGTAGAAAAACCGTGGGTGAAGTCTTTACAACATATGGATAGTAGAGGGATGTTGCTGTTGTCTAGCATTTCTAGGTTCTGCATGAAATATAGCTGTGGTTAAAGCCAGCAAATGCATATATTTTAGTGAAGCACCCTACCTTAAGCGACATGTTTGATTTATTTTTATTTTTTTTTTAAGTTAGAAAGGCCTCATTCTAC